AGAGAAGGAACACCTTCTTTCTATACCCTATTTAATAATGAGCTAGGATAACTTTTAGTAAGAGAAGGAACACCTTCTTTCTATACCCTATTTAATAATGAGCTAGGATAACTTTTAGTAAGAGAAGAAACACCTTCTAAAAAATTCCAAATCAATGTAATTTAGGCTACTATTTTGATGCCTTTCGAAAAGATATGAAACAAGAAATACAGTTTATTTGTGCTACAGGTGTATTAAATAGATATAATTAACGAGGGAAAAAGTGTCACACTCGAAATAAATGAATTCGACCACGAAGATGCTTTATAAACGTAAACGCAACATTCTTAACATTGCTGTAAACATGCTAATCAAACTCACAATGTTTATTACTGTTATCGCATTTAAAGAGCACCAATTCAAAGCTTCAGCCTCCAACAACATAAAATATAAACGAGCGTTTTGAAAAACGTTCAACAAGACTAAAAGATATCAAAACTAGTTGCCTCTCAATGACTTCGCGGAAAGTTTGAAGCCTTATAAAGTTAAAAACCGGACTTCGATAACCGTTGTGGACACAGCACAGATAGCCCTTTGTGTAGCTTTGTGCTTTACAACAAGACAAACAAACAAAAATTAAAGCTAGGTCCTGTGCCTTACGTCACATGGTATACTACCAACGTCAGACGAGATTCATAAATGATCTGTCTGGCTAAAAAATGTTTGGACTATTTCCAGTGAGGATTCATATCTGACAAGACACATTTAACTCTACCAAACAACGTAAGTAAGAATTAACATTAATGCAAACTGATAGACGTTAGTAAAGTTACAGTAATCAAGGTCGTTGAACCAAACTCCAGTGACGTCACTTCCTTGTACTTCTAGTTTTACTTTTATTCAGAATGATGTTGTTGTTTTTTTTTGGTAGGTAGAAGCTATAATTTCATTTCCTAGGAAGATAAGGAATTGCTAGATTGCAACTTTTATCTACATTTTTAATGCTCTCATTTGGATCTCCAGATTCTGCCTTTCACTCTTCTCTTGTCGTATCCTTTATGTTGTTGTGGTACTATTTTCTTTCGTTTGATAACAATAATAGCTATAAAATAAATCTTATATTTCATGTTTAACGATGAATCACACAGCATAGTATATATGTTCACGCGTCATACAGAGGTTTGGTGCGTTATATTAAAATGATTTTGGAGCCTACCCACGTCATTACAATTCCATGTTGCCACGTTTGGTTATGCTATATCTGACGACTGTGAATCTTGACAATAGCCATGCAGTAGTTCCACCGTAAGGCTGTCATGTTCGAAGTACACTCCCTCCTCCCTACCTGATTTCCATAATCCATCAAATCCATGAGCAAATTGAATGGGTGTCTTCATAACGAATAGCATGAAAACCCGTTTCATTCTCCATCTGCTTGAGGTATGCGACAGTTGAACTGTTACATGCTGGAAGCAGCTTGTGCACACGTACTTATGTCGCTTTTACTGACAGAGATCCTTCTTCATTGTGTTGAGTATTGTTGCTTGAAGCTCGTGGACAGCTTTTGCCGCTGGTCTTTGTGTCCTTGGAATCGGATCTGTTACCTGTTACAAGAAGCTGAACTTTGCACACTACGGCTGGGGTACAACTTGTAACATATCTTTTTCTGGATTGTCCTTGTGCACTAAGTTGATCCATAGTCCTCTATTTTCCAATACAATTCCTTATAAAGGATACCCACCGTCATTTAAATTCTAACTCCCCGATCTGAGTTCATCCTTATGAACTGAGTTGAGGAATATTTTTCGTCAGAATGGATTGTTACATACCCCTCACAAAGCAACCTATCTTCGGTGCCATAACACTGTTTACGTAACGTCAAAACAATGTTATGTTACATGTCGTTCCACCGTGACTTTAGATCGACGTTGGTTGATTTGTGTATTCGAAATGGTCTTAATTAAACCGTATTCAACTCTTTATTGTGTTTTTCGTGAGATTGAGTTTTTTTTTTATACATTACAACTTCGGCTAAATCAAAGAAACTAGCCAAGACAATACACAGAGCCTTCGTTGAAGATTGAGGATTTGCAGTGTTCGGGGTTTCTTGGGTGTAGACGTATTTTACAAGTTCCAACTAAAATAACTTTATACACATATTCAATTCCTTGTCAAGCGTAACAGTTAAAAACTGATTAAAAATCACTTTGAAAAACTAATATTTTGCTTTTGTTATTACCGTTCCCTTAGTGAGAACTTAACTTTCATTTTAAAAACTATTTCAAGTTAATAATGAGAAGAATACTTTTTACTGTTGATAATTTTGCCAGGATAGCGCCCTCTTAATAAGGTGTAGAAAAAAATGTGTACATAATTTCTTAACAGTTGGAGAGGAACACAATTTATAAAGATATTGGTTGTTTATTGTTAAGCACAAAGCTTCACAATTGGCCACTGGTATCGAAACCCAGTATTTAGCGGTATAAGCCTTCAGACTTACCGCTGAGCTAATTGGATGCAAAATAATTGATAAAAAATTTTAAACATTTTTTATAAGCAAATTTTAAAAACCCAGAAAATTAATAAAGTGAAAGACGACCAAGCTGAGGATACCCAAGTGGTTCCCAAACTTATCCCCCACCCATTCATGATATCGATCATTTATGGTTAATATTGGGTGATAAACACACTTCATATAAGATTCAAACATTTACCATAGAAATCTAATAAGTTGACCTTCAATCTCTAACCATAGAAATCTAATGAGTTGACCTTCAACCTCTAACCATAGAAATCTAATGAGTTGACCTTCAATCTCTAACCATAGAAATCTAATGAGTTGACTTTGTGTGACATTTACATCTCTCCATCAAATATGAGCAAATTTTATTATAATATACATTCTGTATGATTTCTTTTTTTCCCATAGTGATATATATTCGGTCATTTTCTACGTTTACCCACCCATCAAAACATAATGAATGATTTTTGACATTTTATAATTCAGCGAAATTCGCTCAAGTACGTAAAATGAAACCGAACAAAGATTCCTACAAACAAGTTTTCATATACTAGCAGATATACCTGCACCTCTTGCAACGTTTATTTCATTATCTTCACAGGAATGGCACAACGGTGTGCGTGTATGTCTTTCGATATGCAGCTCTACTGAATAAGAGTAATCGGTAACGTAACCATCGTTTGTTGTTGTACTTACGTATTAAAATTGAAAGCAATTACGATTGCTTACCTATTTTAAAGTGATATTTAAGTGCTCCACCTGAATTCTCCTACCACAGTTTATCTAAATAGGTTTAGCAAATTCTTCACACGATCTTATGATGTGAGGACACTGGGCAGTTAAACATATAACTCTGCTTTACGTATAGAGAGAGATTACTTCAGTAATTCACTGAGCGTAAGATAAAAAACGTCTTAGGAACAAAGTTTTGGAATATTTAATAAATCACAATAGTGTAGTGCAGTATTAGGAAAATAATCACATGCCTAGCATGCCACGGAGAAAAACATAATTACATTTTTGAAGAAAAAAACAAATGCATGGTAACTGAAATAACATTAGTAAAGTAAACGCATGTAAAAGTAAGTGTTCCAGTCTTTCGTAGGTATGATATAATGTATATGTTGAATGGAAACATTAAAGTCACAAATGAATACATCTTTAATGAGATAATTTCAGGTACTTGTCTTAAATTTGGTACAAGATGCCTGTACTTATCCCGAGGCCTTACACAAACATAATGTACCCAACAACGAACTACACTAAATCCTGTTCCCCAGTAACCACCCATGCTCGGATCAGTGCAGGAGGTCTGTTTCTATATGTAACCAGTACATTAAAGTAGTCTCGGGAAATTTTCAACAACTTTCAACGTACTGGACATATGCCGAAAGAGAGATGCTGGAAACCTTGGTTTCCTTTTTGGATAATGATGGTAACGCGTCTCTCTGGGAAGTCATAACAAAATTCCAAATGATGTTAGTTCTTGGCCAGAAGTATCTTGATGTTCAAATAGTCAATTGTTCAGACTCACACTCTGATGCAAGGACCTTTTTTGTGTCACAGAGTAATTCCCTGGTCATCTACAGAAATTGGAGTTGTCCTTATTAGACAGTCTCCGCGTGATTTCTCATTTTAATGTCTTATTTCATGTTCCTGTTTCAAAGTGAAACAATTGTGCCTAATCTCTACTTCTTTTGGTCGTGTTTCATTTATTAACGCTCTGCAAACAAATTCTCCTAATACTCCATAATTGCGGTAACGGTAGCTAAGTCTTTGGATCATTTTTACTTCAGAATACCACAAGTATGCCAATAAAAAGTACTGCTTTAGACAAGGATTTCGTGGCGTAAAACGAGTGCGGGAATTACTTGAAAGGAAGTACAGCCATTGTTAATCAAACAGTACCTGTTAACTAGGTACTAACGAAAAATACGTTTATATTTATTGTTTTTGAGATATTTCTTATGATTTTACTAAAATGTAAACATTAACCAATTAGCAAGCGCCATTTCCTCACTACGAATGAATACACACACCTGTAAATACGCGTTATTTATACTAATATTGAAGTAGTCTTATCTAGGTCAGCTTTTGAAGTTAACTGAAGAAGTAGTGCCAGTACGCACATTGGTGCAATTTAGATACCACTGTAACCCAACACTTCCTGAACAATACTGTTATCTCAGTAAGTTATTATTATTTTTTGTATTATATCAGACACGTTGCCAGGGTTTCTGAATCCTGTTGTGAACAGCAAATATAACAATTTTGTTAGTACTTCAACATTTTTTCTAATCAAAATCAAATCTAAAAAAAGCGTAAACAAAGTTAGTCAGAAAATTAACAAGACTATTTAGGTTAAAATCGTTAATTAAACCCAAAGTCCCATATTCTCGAGACTAACATTTCCCGTACTTGTGAGGGGCTCTTCACGAAATACGCCTTGCTCACTGGAATATAATTTATGTCCTGTAGATTAACTTTCACAATAGATAAAATTATGTTTTGTTTGGTTGGTTGTTTTTTTGTCTCGAGGGGACTAGATGACAGGAGACGTTCTACCTGGATACATTGGTGCAAGGGCACCAGCTGTACTTCCACCCCCTGCATCCGGCAACGGTTCATTAACCATTAACCATAGTAAAGTTAAAGTTGTTGTAGAGCCCTAGCTACGTACAGACAATATCAGACACAGTTTGAAAATGACTGAAGATAAGCAAGTATCATTTATTAGTCACGTGCGTGGTTTACTCTCGTCTTGTTGAATAAAACCCAAGTTGTTCGTCAGGTGTTTTTACTTATGCAGTCAGTGTTTTGTTCAGGTATTTGCATGAACTTCTCTTAACATCTACTCGAAGAAATGCTTTGTAATTACAGCCGAATTTAATGTTTGCAAGTTTTTATTAATGCTGTGGTTAAATTGAATTTTCTTGTTCAGTTATCATCTAGCGAAACTGGAAAAACGTTTGTCTAATATTAAAAACAACATGTTTACAGATATTATAACAGGATATTTGGATAACGTTATACAGACAACCTATTTCTACTTAACTTAGGTACCAACTTAACACAATGGGGTGTACAACTAATGCTCTTTCATAGGTTCGTTAATAATGTACCAATGTAATACACAGAACAATGGGAGATACAACTAATGTTCTTTGATAGGTTCGTTAATAATGTACCAATGTAATACACAGAACAATGGGGGATACAACTAATGTTCTTCGATAGTTTCGTTAATAATGTACCAATTCAATACCCAGAACAATGAAATGTACAATTAATGTTCTGATAGGTACCAACTTAACACAATGGGGTGTACAACTAATGCTCTTTGATAGCTTCGTTAATAAGGTACCAATTCAACACCCGGAACAATGAAATATACAATTAATGTTCTGATAGGTACCAACTTAACACAATGGGGTGTACAACTAATGCTCTTTGATAGGTTCGTTAATAAGGGACCAATTCAACACCCAGAACAATGGGGGATACAACTAAAGTTCTTCGATAGTTTCGTTAATAATTTACCAATTCAATACCCAGAACAATTAAATGTATAATTAATGTTCTGATAGGTACCAACTTAACACAATGGGGTGTATAACTAATGCTCTTTGATAGATTCGTTAATAAGGTACCAATTCAACACCCGGAACAATGTGGTATACAACTAATGTTTTGTGATAGAGTCGTTAATTAGATAGTTATTTAACACTCGGGACAATTTGTTAAATAGATAAAGTCCTTAAAATGATTTGTTATTAAGCGAGCAAATTAACACCAGCCGCTAATGACCTTTGATAAAGTTGAACCTATGTGTCTTATAATTAGTGTCTTTATCAATATACTTTACATGATCACTGATCAACCCATATAGTTATGTATTATTTTATTATGGGAAAAAAAACTCAGTACCTGTGCTCTCAGCATAACCATTGAACTTCATCGAGCGTACGCTCTCCACAATTGCCTCCACAATCTCTTCACAAGGCTGCAGGTTTCCAAAGATTGTAGGGTCCCCTGTTATCAAAAACCAGAAATACACCTAAGTCATAAACCGTGAAAACTTGCAAATTATTGATGATCGTATCAAGTGTGGTAGCTAGTAAAGAGAGAAACAACTTATGCAGGTTTTTATGACCTGGACAGACAGAAAGGTGAAATAATTGTAATAATCAAAGAAATTGTTCTTTATGAACTCTTCTCATAGATCAATTCGCGTGTTTTTGAGATTCTAAAGTATTTCCTCTTACTTTTGCAAGGTTGCAAGTATAGTTTTTGCAAAAAATAGGGTAAGAAATCAGTAAAAAATAATTACACCATGTGTTTTTAAATCCAGAAATCAAAATAATTCTCTCAATTTTTAAATACAGATAGGCCGAAAAGCTTCACTTCACGAACAGTCGAATTAAATTTTTGAACTTACTTGTAATTGTATTGAATGTAGTTACATTTTTTTATCCTTATTCTAAGCAATTATTTGTAGTTCAAACCGAAGATTTTAGATTTTCAATGAACTTACACACTTATAAACAATTTCAAGTACCTGATTTTATCACGTCTTCCTTTATTAGGCTCAATTGTTATGATATTACTGATAATTATATTACGACCCACAAACTTCTTAAAAGATTCATCATTAAATGTGGCCACTTATCTGAACTAGTATACACTAATGCCATAACAGTATACAAATATTAGATTACTTATTAGAAAATCCATTCCTAATTGTAAACTATCAACTTCTGAATATGTCATAAAGTGTGAGGTAAATAAGCGGCTTGGCAAGTGCTGTCATATCACCATATAAGCTGTTAACCATGACAATAAGATACTTGTAAGATTTTCAATACAGAATTGTTTTTCAACAAAAGTGGTTCGGGTTCTATAGGAAGAACTTTCACTTTTTGCCTAACCCTAAACGATTTATATGATTTTTCACAAAATAAAAATCAATAAATAGAAAATATTCAGAGATAATTAAAACGGATCAAGACACTTACCAATTGACAGAGGTATCATGTGCTTCTTTGGATTTGAAGAGATGTTCATGTTCTCCACAATATCGCGAATTACATTCAAACTCCTAGTGGCCAGCTGAGATGGCGTTATATTCCAAGACCGCCTGGTACGAAACTCGTCTTGGAAATCATGCAGCTGTGGAGAGATATAAAGCATTCCAGAAGGCATCTTTTAGGCGGTTTGCAAACAAAAAGCAATTATCTGCTCCTCACGGACTAAGTTAGGTAGTATCTGTGGTAGTGTGTGAGAGGAAGAAATACCTAGAATCAAAACTGTGAGGAGGTGGGCTAGGATGTGCAGAAGAGGATGAATCGGTTTTATAGTATGTCACTTGACAACTTATGCTCAGCCTTCTGAAGAACAAGAAAGACCGGTGTTAAAAACATGCAGAGTACCATTCCAATATAATCCCCTGTAACACCGGTCTTTCTTGTTCCAATCTCAATCTGCAGAGTACCATTCCAATATAATCCCCTGTCTGTTTTTAACACCGGTCTTTCTTGTTTCAATCTCAATCTGCAGAGTACCATTCCAATATAATCCCCTGTCTGTTTTTAAATTGAGATTGGAACAAGAAAGAGATTATGTGTACGGAAGTGTGGTATACTCTCAAGAGCTTTTTTCTAATGGATAAATACGATCATTAAATAGGAACGGGTGTCCTTGTTAGTAGCTGATGCAAGAGGTTCATTTCTGTTTAAATTTTTCCTTTCTCTCTCTCTCTCTCTCTTCTTTTTGAGTTTTTTTTTTATGGTTCACTGCTTAGAGGCGTTGATCGACGATACACGTGTAAGCACAGTTTCCTTGAAGTCGTTGAAACTATACTTGCTGTTGTTAATAGTTCTATTCTCAAAACCCACTCACCTAGTTTTCATGACAAGCAAGTGATTCTGTTGAAATTGTCTAAGTTGTTAGGTATGAAACTTTTTATGAGCCATCGCAAAGCACTCTGATATCACTTTTAAATCTTCGTACATCTTGGTTATCTTGCTCACGTTGTCCTTACGTTAAAAATGAAAACAAAATTTAATAACAAAATCTTGTCGGAGATTAACCCAATTTTCTGAAACAAGCTTTCCAAAAGGAATGCGAGAATCGTGGAACTTTTATGGAGAAATCATAATAGAGTTTAGAACCAATAATACACATGGACGCCATGCAATGAACCTTTTAGTAGACTCACACTAAATTCATTTTAGGCTTGTCTCAGCAATTATTTAAATCGACAAATAAAATTGAGGGTTATATCATTTACGTAGAATAGAGTTATTACACGTATAACTCACTACAACTATAAATGTGGTTCTATATCAAGGTTCTATAGGAGATTTAATTGATATTACACATATAACTCACTACAGCTATAAATATGGTTCTGTGTCGACGTTCCATAGGAGACTTAGTTAATATTACATTAACTTATTACAGTTACAAATGTGGTTCTATCAAAGTTTTATAGTTGAGATTCCATATATAACTCCGTACAGCTATAAATATGGTTTTATATCTACGTTATGTAGGAGACTTAATTAGCAATGCGCATATAACTCACTACAGACATAAAATTGGTTCCGTTTTGAAGTTCTATACGAAACTTAACTCGTCCTTTGCTGAGCTCCAGTTTATACAGCGTGAAATGAGATCAATTCTACCTGTACATAAAGTATGACATCGCGTTTGTACAGCGTGAAATGAGATCAATTCTGCCTGCACGTGAAGTATGACACCGAGTTGTACAGCGCACTTTAGTAGGAACCAAGTTGTGATTTCTCCTGCACGATTAGTATATCTCTAAAATATGGAAGTTTGTTGACTTACTTGAAGATCAGCAGGTGTTTGTGTAATTGTATTTGTTGGTTTATATAGGTGAAAATAAACAATGACTATGAAAGCTAGAGGTTTTTTTTTCTTTAATCTAATCATGTCATCAAAAAATGCTGTATAAACATGGAATTCATTTTGACTGAATTTTTGTATACGGGTCTGATAAGCTTATCTTTGTAAAAACTTCATTAAGCGTAGGCATGAAATATATTTGTGTTTTTTCAAGTCTAATTTTCTAATAGGCGGGTCAAGTTTATTTAAAACTGTTTTGTTCGATATCGAATTTTATTTTTATTCTAATTCCATGAGTAAAACATCCGCCATTTTTTCGTATGTTTAGTACTTTTATTAAAGAAATTACAAAAAATTGAGTAAGAAAATAAAGAGAAAAAAACACAAAGGCTCACATTAGGTGGAAATAAAAAGCTGCTTCGAATTCCTGAGCTCCTTGTCTGTTTGTCGATCATCGTGCAAAGCTACTCGATGGCTACCTGAGCTAGCCGTCTCTAATTTGAAAGTGCAGACTAGAGGGCTAGTCAATACCATCCATCGCCAACTCTTGTCTTACTCTTTTACCAACGAAAATTGGGATTAACCGTTACATTATAACGCCTCCACGGCTATAAGGGCGAACACGTTCTTGTAGGACTCGAACCTGCGATCTGCAGATCTCGAGTGTAGCGCCACCAGGCCATGCCAGTCCGTTGAGTCCCTTTAAATATACATCTGTGTGCTCATGCACTTACACAGATAGGCCTACAATAAACTAGTCAAAATTGAAGTAGAGGAGATGTCTTACTGAAATATCAACAATATTTGCACCAAAACTCAAATCATGTAGGTATGAAAGTGTAAGTTATATATATATTATTTTCCTTTTCCGTTATTTTCAATATATATATATATGTGTGTGTGTGTGTAAAGGGACGATAGACTATAAAATAAAAAAGTGATATTTGCCCAATTTGTTCCATTGGTACTTGAACAAAAATTAAAACATTTCATAATTGGTGAAGTTCTTATGTAAATGTAATGATGAAAAGAATACCCGTTATCTTCTCGATAAAACACTCGTTGTTAAAATCTATCACTTCACAGTCTCTTGTTGTCTGGTGTTGTCCAAGGGATGGTGTTAGAGATCTTTCGTTATAAGGGCAAGACATCTCTAGCACCTGCTATAATGGTGTAAAATATAATAAGATAAAACTTAATGACAGATTGCATTATGTGTTTCTTGGTGAGAGAGAGCGTCTCAGTTCCTTTCTTTATAGCATTACGTGTCCGGCATTAAATTTTGTCTCATTCATTCATTCATTTCGAAATACATAAAACCAATCTTTGGAATTATTCTTACACCTACTTTTAAATTTAAAATACCTATTTTTTTACAAATAGCACATTTATAGAAAAGCCAACTCAAACAAAAGACACACTAGTTGTTATTTTACTATAATATTTGTTGTAAGCCAAGTATTTTTTATTAGCCTATATTTCCTTCTGACAACACGACATAAACTATTATTTTCCTTAACTTGTTTATGAACAGGCGACAAAATAAACGAAATAGGGCCGAGAGTGGCCCAGTGGATGGTGTGCTGTATTAGTGATCTGCAGAAAATTTAAGAACAATAACGTGGTTACAATGTTACACTTTATCTTGATGAACTAAACTGAGTGATACACATAAAAATGTTCTTTCACCATATAAGTTAAAACGACTGGCGGATTGGAAATTCATACTAAGTAAATTAGATTGATGGATTTGTCACATGTTTCAGTTCTTAAGTTGTCGTGGAAAAAATATTTTTCAAATATCATTAAACAGTGCTTGTGTCAGCGTTAATAAAATGCGAATCAAATAATATTTTTTTAAAGTTATTGGTATTTATTATTATTTTTGTTCTAAGTTCCAACAATTCGAACCGAAAAACTCAGATCTCTACCAGCTATAGCATTAAGAAGTAAACATTGAAGTCTTACTCCAACACTTATATGTAAATAACGAGACCTTACTCTTTCAATACCAAGTTGTAAACAAAGAGACTTTACTCCTCCAATACTATGGTGCAAACAAGGAAACCTTGATCCTTCAGTAGCATGCTGTAAACAACACGACCTTAGTCCTAAAGAATTAAGTTGTATACAAGGAGACCTTACTCCTACAACACCAAGTTGTAAGCCAAAAGATTTTACTCCACTAGTACTAATTTGTGATCTGTGAGACCTTGCTCCAATAGTACTTTTCTAGAGTTACATCGTCCAAAAATATATCAAAACAAATCATTTATTAAATGAAATAGTCTCCATTCTTATCGATGATGTTTCTCCATCTTACAGTCAGGTTGTAAATGCCTTGTATAAATAAATCACTTGGCTTTGAAACAAAAAAAAAACATATCGATGCCCTCTTTAACACTTTCCACATTTGCATACGTTTTCCCATTAAGATGGTGATGCAACGAACAAAAAAGATGGTAATCTGATGGTGCCATATCTGGAGAATATGGTAGGTTAGGGAGAACTTCCCAACCCAACTCCATAATCTT